AAAAAAAAAAAAAAAAAGAAAAAGAAAGAAAAAGCAAAGAGGCCAATGCTTAGGGAGGAAGGATGGGTAACAAGCACATATATTAGAGAAAGATTCAGGTTCAAATCCTGGCTTTGGCACTTTCTATGTTTGCCTCTATGAACCCATCTATTAAATGGTGACAATATTGCTCATTTACTGATGGGGTGGTTTAAACATTAAAATGGGAAGTGGTGGTCTTGGTAGGGCTTAGGGTCTGGCATTAGTGGACACACAGGACCTACTGCCTTTCTTCTTGGAATTCTCTCCCACCAGGAAGTCCCTGAGAGCCTTTTTAAAGTCCTAGGGAGGATCCAAGGTTAGCAACATGATCAGACAGCTGTATGAGCTTCCTGTGGCAGCTATAACAAATTATCACACAGTCAACGGCTGTGTGATAACCAGAATTTATTTCCTTATACTTGCACAGCATTTCCTTCCTCCCTCATACAAGAGCTCTTGTGACTTCACCCCACCTACCCATCTTGCCTACTTGCATAACCCAGCATCACCTTGCCATCTCAAGACTCCTAAAGCACTCATATCTGTAAGGTTCCTTGTGCCATGAAAGGTAACAGCCATTAGGACAGGGACATGGATATCTCTGGGGGGTAGGGGATCATCACAATGACCATAGTTAGGGACAGTGGCATGGTGTCAGGATCTGTTAGCAACACACATTTATTCAGTGATTCTTTGGGTACCTAGTCCTTCCAGGTGCTAGAATTGGTAATGCACCACATAAACACGGTCTGTGCTTCCAGGCAACTCACACACACAAGAACCAGGTACCACTCACCTCCCAAATAAGTATGTTGCCACCAACTATGATTAGTGCTGCAGGGTGCCCTGAGGTAGATGACAGGGTGCCTGCCCTTTGGGAAGAGCTGGCTGTGGCTTAAGGCCTGGAGGATAAGCAAGTGTGGTGCCAGCAGAAGGGAGGGAGGTCCTGATAGCATGTGCAGAGGCCTGGAACTGGGGAGGGACAGCTCATTTGAGGAGCTACATGAAGGTCACCATGGCTGCAGCATGACAGCAAAGGAACCGTGGTATGTGACAGTTGCAGAGTGGGCAGGACTGATAGGCAGCTCAGAGGCCCTGGCCTTTAGACTTAATGCTGAGCACAGCTGTACAGTAAGGACTGCTCTTTAATGGGGTCCCTCTGACTGCCTCAAGGCTGCCATCATGGGACTAGGAGGCTGCAGCCTGACAGGCGAGAGGGATGGAGAGGAGGCAGGGAGGCAGGCTGTCCTGTGCAGCAGGCCAACTCACTGATGGATGGCCCTCAGGGTCATGGCTGCACTTCTTTCTGGACCCATTCTCTAGAAATGGAGTCCCTGAAAATGAGCCGACCTGGAGTGGGGGAAGGCACCAAGTTCTACAGGTGATGCTGAGCTTAAGGTGCTCTGGAGATGGAAGGCAATGGTGCCTGTGTGGTGCTTAGTTTAAACATTATTAGGATGGGGACCTAGAGATGTTGGTCAATGGGTACAGGTTAGAAAGGAGGAGTTTCGGTGCTCTATTGCACAAGCAAGATAATCCACAGTCAACCATAATATATTATTTGTAATTAGCGAAGGGGGCCGTTGTGTGACAGGGATAGCTAATCCTATTTCAAATTAGCTAAGAGGATTTAAAATACTATCAACACAAAGAAATGGTAAATAGTTGATCTGATCTTTTAACAATGAGTCAAAACACCTCCTTGTACCCCATGAATATATACAATTATTATTATTTGCCAATTAAAAATAAAATAAAACTGGCCAAGGATGTAGCTCATGCCTGCATGGTAAGTCCTGGGTCCTGAGTTCAATTCCTGGTACTACAAAAACAAAACAAAACAAAAAACTAAGCCAGGCAAGGTAGTGTATAGCTGTAATCCCAGCACTCTGGGAAGCTGATGCAGGAGAATTCCAAGTTTCAGCCCAGTTTGAGCAACTTAGTGAGACTGTCCTGAAATAAAAAATTAAAAAGGGTTGGGGATATAGTTTGGTGTGAAGCTGGGTTTAATTCCCAATACTGTTAGTCAATTGATCCATCAATCTAGAAAAAAAGGTCCCTTAGGTCCTTTTCAGACTAAAATATAAGGGTTCCCTGATCTAAATCATGAAACTTCAAGAGAACCTTGGAAATGGTCATATCTTGGGGAAAGGATGAGTAAGGCTGGGGCGAGGGAATTGGTTTTTACCGAGTATTGCCTTTGTGTCCTTAGCACTGAGCACGATATAGCTGGTGCTCACTTAACAAGGAAGAATGGGCTGAGAAAGGCAGTCAGGGCTTGTTTCCTTGTGGGGGCCAAAGGACATTCCCAGGGACAGGACAGACACACCTGTGCCATAACTTTCAGACTGCTGGCCCCAGCCCACTGTGGTGGTGTCGGGATGGGGGGGCAACTAGGGAAGCCAATACGTGCATTCACATAATCCCATCCGCTCCTGTGAAATGTCTTGATCCCTATTTCAAAACCAAGAAACAGGTTCAGAGCGGGTACGTTCCATTCTCAAGATCACACAGCAGGAAATGGCTGAGCCATTAGAGAGCGCGCCCCAGGTTTTCTACAGCTCACACTGCCTCCCCTCCTTTCCTCAGTATTGAGGGTCAAGGGAGAAAACGGGAGGGCCCTGGCCCCTAGAGGCCAAAGAATGTGGGGATAGCGAACAAGGGCTTATGCTTGGAGTGTTCACAGTACCGACCTGTAGTGCACAGAAATGAAGAACAAACTCTGGCGGTGAAGGATAAGCCCGAGGAGGATGGACACCTTGATAGCCAGATAAATCCCTTTCCTTAGCCTTCAGCATCCAAATTCTACCCCAGCCACGGTTTGCAACTCTAGAGGGAGGTCAGTAAGGAAATTTCTGGGTGATTAACAAAACAGTCACCAAGGGAGAGCCCCCACTTCCCTTTCTAGCCAGTGAGGCTCTTCCTTGAAGCTCCTCACCTTTCCACCTGGCGAGCCTGGGCCTCTGCACATTGATGTGGCATTGTGGGATGATGTCATCCCCTGGCAATCCTGGGAGGTGACCTCAGCTGCAAGCGAGAATTCCAGGTGTGGCGCCATGGTGAGCTCATCGGCGCGGCCTCAGGGGGCCTCACCCGGGCACAGGTCCCCATCCTCCCAACCAGAATAACCAGAGCGGCCAGCTCCCTGAGCCACAGGGCCACCCAGAACAAAGGCGATGAGGTGCCAACCTGTGCAGCCCAGGCCAGTCTGGTTATGTAAGGTCCAACTGGCTGTTCCCAGGCTCCTTCCTGGGGGGCTCCAGGCCGCAGGATGAATGAGGTTCAATCACCTGTGCCACCCAATGAGGTCACTACAGCCGCCTTCCATGTCCAAGGCAAATGTTCCAGGCCTGCTGGCTTCCTGCTGCCCCAGCCAGGCCTTACTTAGGCCTGCTGCCCACAGCCGCTTCTCATCAGGGGCCTGCCAAGCCTAGCCGGCCCCATGGCAGGGGCTGAACTGATTCTAAAAGGCCAGAAATTGGCCCACCTAGAAGAAAAATAAATGCTTTTTGTGACATCCTTGTGGTTTGGGGACTCTCAAAGGTCTGACACTTAGCACGGGCAATGAGAAGACCCTTCCTTTGGAGGCAGTGGCAGATACATGTGAGCTCACCTCCTGGCTCTACCACTTAAAAGCTATTATGCCCAGGACAAACTGCATCATCCCTCTGAGCCTCAGTTTCCTCATCTGAACACCTGGAGAAAATTTCAATGAAGTCTAAAAACAGGCAAAATCAGTGTATGGTAATTAAAGTCAGAAACAGCTGCAGTGGTGGTGGGGTTACTGACGGGGGGCAGGGGGCTGAAGGGAACATGCAGGTGGTGGAAAAGTACTATGCCTTGATGGGACGATGGTCACTTGGGTAAAAACAGGAAAGCTCACCTTGCCTCACCTTTCGCTATATGTAAGTTATGCGAACCTAAGAAGAAGGAAAGAGAGTAAGGAAGGAAGAAGGGGGAGAGGAAAAGATGGAGAAAGGCAATTAGGGATAAGAATTCTGGTTACTAACAGGGCTGTTGGAACACTGGTAGATAAAGCTGGAGGCTGCTTGGGAGTGAGGGGACTGACTCTGCCCCATCTCTATCTCCCAGGGACCTAGCATGGGCTCTGCGTAAAGACAGTATAGCATCATAGGGAAATCCATGCTGCCAGAGTTCAAATCCTGGCTCAGCTCCCTCCTGGCTGATTGAGGTTGGATAAGGGACTTTGCCTCCACCAGCCTCAATTTCCCCAGCTACAAATGGGACCATCATAGTACAGCTGATCCTCTGTATTTGCAAGTTTTACATCCTTTGGTTCAACCAATTATGGATCAGAAATAATTACAAAAGAAATTGAGTTTGTACTGGACATGGACAGCCTTCTAAAAATCATTATTCCCCAATGAAACAGTATAATGATGAGAGCATTTACACTGAATGAAGATGCGTAAGTTGTCTAGAGATGATTTGAAGCATCTGGGAGGATGTGCACAGTTAAGTGCAAATACTAGGCTACTATACACAAGGGACTCAAGCACCGGAAGATTTTGGTGTCCTGGG